AGAAGCGCGGCAAATAGCAGCGCGAAGCAACCTCGCTTGGCAAGCTAACTAACGGTGACGCAAAATGTACCTGTTCGTAATGATTAAGTATTTATTTTTAAATCGAAGAACTACTTGAATCAGAGACAGAGAGAGAAAAAGAGAGGAAAAGGGGGAAGGAGAGAGGGGGAGGAGTGGAATAAAATTTTTTTCACGCGAAAGTTTATTTTTAAAAATTTATCTATCTCTGTAAGTCTCGGATCAAAATTTCAATATCTAGTCTATTCGAAATTTATTGAAAAATGCAATTCCGATGATTGTCCCTTCTCGAAAGTCTTGGTCTACAAAAGTTTCGTGCAAAACTTCGAGAGTCCTAACGTCTGAAAATTCGATTTATCATTCATCATAGAGACCCTTATTGAAATTAAGCTAAAGAGGTATGTGATGGGTTGAAAATTAATGTACTCGAAACTAAAAGCGACTTTCGCGTCGTTCCCCCGTGTTCCAGGGCTGTGAAGGCGTTCCAGCAGGTGCTATGGGTGGAACCAGGATTCCCACGGGCCTGCGAGGTTCACCTACGGCTCGGCTTGATGCTGAAGGTCCACGCTGAGTTCGACGCCGCCCTGAAGCACCTGACCCTCGCCCTGATCGATGCCACAACACCTGCCTCCTTCTCCAAGCTCGAGAGTAAGTAAGGCTCGCTCCCTTTATTCGCGCCGTTAGTCGGAAAACAGCCGGCTCTGACACCCCGCGCATCGCGACTTCGTAATCGCTCGCCGCTTCACTTTCCTCCGCGAACTTGACCGCCTTTTGCTCGATGCTCATGTCAGCGAGATGACTCCATCCCGCGCGATCGGTGGCAGTTAAATGGCATCCTCGAGAAAACGCTCGATAGTTCAGCTTCGATATTTTGTCGATAAAATAAAATACAGATATAAAATACTAAATACTAATAAAATACTAATAATATAAAATACTAATAATATAAAATACTAATAAAATACTAAAATACAGATGCAATTTTTAACGCAAGAAATTTCTTAGAAAATCTTTTTCTTAATATTTTAATATACAAGATATCTTATTTTAAATATTTTGCTTCTTAATGTTAAATTCAAGGTAGGTAAGTACCGTGGCAGGTGAAGCTTTAATTTAACGGTTCGGTTGTCCGATCGTGAAAGCTGTTCATTCGAAGGAAGAGGCTAATTTCATTCTTTTATCCGGAAACATGTATTGTTACGGAATTGCAACCGTTGTATTCTAAATAATATTCTTAGACCAGTATAACGAGATTTGACTAGAGATATTTAAAAATCATACGAGTTTTACTGGTTTAAAATCTATCTATCTTTCGCGCGCGATCAGCTTTCAGTTCCATTAGTAACTAGGCAATAATATGCTTTTATCTAATCAAAATAGTTGGAAAATTAACTTGAATATTTTCCAATTCCCACTTAAACGTCATTATCGACTAACAGCGATACGATGAATATATTAACGAGTATTTAAGAAGCAGGATAGATTCTAATCGAATGAGAAACGCTCAGCTAGGCAAGAAGTAGAAGTGGAGCATTTTTTTTATTTAATTTCAAAGTCACAAAGATGGAAATACCTGATTGACATAATACTCAGTTTTCCCTGAGAAAAAAAATTGATTTCAAATTCATCGGGAAATCTGTCATTAATATTGATATCTCTCGTCAGGGATTCCCCTCCTCCTCTCTGCATCTCGTATACGTATATAGAACAAATTATATAGAATGAATCACATTGACGTTGACGTTGTGCTGATTCATGACTCCGTACGCACGCTTTCCATGTGATGATTCGCGCGGGAATCATTCTTTCGGGTACCGGGAATTTCGCGCGGGAATGTATAAATTCCCTGCCGGAAGTCATGCTTTTAAATAGTCGGCCGCGCGCGGTTCGCCCGTCAGTCTCGCGCATGTCTGTGCTTATCGCGTTTCGTTGCTGTCGTGGTTGATGAAAATTAATCGCGATCGGTCCTGATCGATGGTCTTTGTTTCCTTCTCTCGAGTCTAACTGATAAACTTGCCTTCGACCAACGTATCGGTATAATTCGACTTTTTCATGCTCGTCCCAAGTTATCTTTATCGAGAAATTCATCGAGAAATCATGTTTCGCGTGTTTGTGTTACAGTTAAGTTTCACATTGCTCATTTATACGAGGTTCAGGGCAAATATCGCCTGGCCAAGGATCATTACGAGGCTCTGCTAAAGGAGAAGGTGCCTTTACATCTGAAAGCTGACATCTGCCGTCAATTGGGTAAATATTTTTTATTGAAATATATCATTAAAAATTATGTGTGTGTGTGTGTGTGTGTGTGTGTGTGTATTTATAATTGTTTTATTAGAAAAATAGCTAGGACGATTAATTAATGAAAATTAAACAGGTTTTAGCATTACTTGCATTTTTAACATTCTTTAGTCAATTACATTTTAAAAATTATCGTTTTCGATATTATTCTTAAATAGAAAGGATGTAAAGAAGAGATAAAAACTGATCCACTAGGAGATATCTTATGTAAATATTAGAAATGTGGAAAAGGGATGATGAAGGATACTTTGTTCGAAAATACTTAGAAATTCCGACATATTCTAGTTCGAAAAGTATGTAAATATTTTATACATAAATATTTAAAGCTTTGTGGAAAGAGAAACGTAAAATAAATATTGCTTTCAGAAAATTCCACTGGGAAGTTCCCGATATTCTCTAGGATTAAAATGTAAATATTTAATATAGAGAAGGTGTAAGTTTAAAGAAGAAAAACTTTATCGAATGGATTTATTTACAATTTCTAAATATAAACAAGTGCATTTTAAAATTTTTTAAGTTCAACTTAGAAATATTTATGATAATTTGGAGGTAATTAGAGAAATAATTAATTCATTTATAATTACCATTTAGTTCATATCTATTATATTAAAATTATATTAAAATTATATTCGAAAACGCTTTATTTAATCTAGTCATTATAATTATTTTAAATATTATAAAAATGATTAAAAATGATGATAATTTTGAATAAATTATTTATTATTATATATTGTTATCTTAAAATTGTTGTTTTTTTTTTTCTAAAGAAGATTATAGAAAGATTATTAAAACGCAAGCACAAGTACGAATTTAAACGAACGGAACGTCGAAGTTGTTCAAGTTACTGCGACTTATTCCGTGTTACTTTTGAAAATAGAGTTTCGTCGCGATACTAGATCTAGGGAGAAGGGAGGAGAGGGATACTTGAACATTCCCTTGTCGCCATATCCCGTTGTGGTTCGGCGGGTAGTCTATGCGCCAGTCTAGGACAGAAAATGGGAGGAAGAGAGAGAAACATAGGGCAGGTGCGAGAGAAACAGAAGCTAAGGATAGTTTTCCCACAACTAGAGTCTCTCTCTCTCTCTTCTTTTTTCTCCCCACTCTCTCTCTCTCTCTTCTTCTTTCTCTCTCTCTCTCTCTCTCTCTCTCCGACCCATTCACGCGACCTCTCCTATCCTCTCTATCCCTCGTTCATTCACTCTCTCTCCCCCCGGGTTGCGTCTCATCCCCAGCCCACCCTAACCCGGAATAAATCAATACACGTGTCTGCAGACTACTTGGCAGAGTGCAGCCGGCCTGCCGAATTCGAGAGGCTGAAGGCGATCTAAGGGAAAAATCATTCTTGCGTTACTGCCGAGCCACTGTTACGGCGGAGACGACATCTTTTTCCTTCTTTTTTTTTCTACCATTTTTCTTCTCTCTTATTTATATCTGAATGCGTAGGTAGATTACAAAGAATTGGCACAGGTCAGATACATATTTTTATATTTTCCTTTCTTTTAAAGGAAAATAAGAAATAAGAAGTAAGAACGTTTCGCCATTCCTTTTTCCGCTCGTCTAAAAGTAACGATCCTAACGAAGGTCCTTCAACATTTCCGAGAAGCTAATCGCCGTGATGTTATTTTCCAAGCGATATGACGTTATTATCCGGAACTCTCAGGCTGGCCAATGTTTTCTCTTTCAACCCTCGAGAAACGAAGCGCGAGGAAGGTAGGTGTCTGCACGTCTCTCGGAAGGCGCGCTTCTTCTTTCGGAGCCGTGTCTTCTCGAGGTCGCGCATTGCGAACGGGACATCTACTTTACGGCTCGTTTATGGCTCCTTGCGTGTCGGCGAACCGTCTCGGTCGCGACCGGTCCCGCTTCCCTTTTTTTGGAATTCTGCTTTGCCGTTCTCCTTCATCCGCTCGTTTCTTCCTCCGCCGCGAGAAGGGACGAAGAAACGTCTCTCTTTCTCTCCTCTCTCCTCTCCTCTCTTTCTCTTTTAACGATAACTGCGATATATTTCGTCGGCTGAACAGCAAGAAAATCCAACGGTATCACTCATTGATTACAATACGAAAGATTTTTTTTCAATATCGCTTATATATACTGCTTGCGATTAACAATATGCAGATAATTAAAAGTTTTCTTTACATTGATTAGTTTATCTCATTATTCCAAAGACATAAAAATAAAAATGAAAATAAAGATTTTATGAGATACGTCATATTTTATGTGAAAATATGACGTATCAGAATAAAATATGAAATTCTCTTGTAAATTCTTTGACGGCTGAGACTTTTGATGAGACAATTGGAAAAATTAAATTAAATTAGAAGAGAAAATACCTTGAAAAATTTAATATTTTTGAATACTGAAAGAATAGTTCACAAGAGAAGGTTTCTCGGCGAAAATCAATTGACGCGGTTGAACCGAGAGATTTAGTTCGGGATCCGACCGAATTCAGCCAGGTGGACTGATTTAAAAGCAGGCGAATTTGCGAATCGGTTATATGGGATGTCAGGCATATGGGACGTCGTATTTAGGACAGGTGAATAAATAACATTAAAGGTAAACAAGCGATCAGAACGATGGTGCATACGGCGCAGTCAGTAATTATTAGTCTAGCAAATAAGGAAAAATTCCCAATGGCGGAAATATTTTTAACCGGAAAGACATTTAAAATGTATACATTCTCTCTCTCTTTCTTTCTCTCTCGATCAAAAATAACGAATATTATATTATTTGAAATTTCATTCTTTTTCAATTTTTGCTTTGAGGAAAGTCATTTATTTGATTTCTATTTATCAAAATATTCCCTACAGAGCCATATGGCTCTGTTGTTTGATAAAAAATTGTTTAATCCTTTTGCTGAAGTTTATAAATTTGCTCCAATCCAATTTAATATTATTGCAAAGCTATTTTAAAAGATTTTTATTTTACGCTCTCTTTTATCATTAAAATAAAATAATAATTAAAGCCGTTGAATGAATGGAAGCGTAACTGCGTCGAAATTGACCGATCGGACGAATTAATTAATTTGGCGAGTTCCCACGTGCGATTTCGTCACCACTATGTTCGCCTATTTACGGTCGCGCATTTATTGTCGCGAATAACAACTTCTTGCCGACGCCCCGCTTTTCCCACGATGATTAATCCGCAGGGTATCAACAGGTAAACATGCGTCGCGCGAATGTAGAAGTACCGGACATAAATCAATATCGATGTTATATCGAAAAAGAATATTCTTTTTATTACAATACGCGTATTATGGAATCTATATATAATATTTATATGTTACAGGATTGTAAAGAAAATATCTCGCAAGACTCAATCAATTTTTTTATTAAGCAGAAATTAGAATTTTAATTAATTTAATTTAATTAATGCGAAAGTACGATTAGAGAAATATCTTGTTGTCAATCGGAAATTCCCGAGAGAATCAGAACACCACGGTCAATTGAGTTGATGAATTTAAGCGCTCGCTGCGCAATAATCCCTTAGGATCGTCTGTTCTCGAAAACACATGGTGAAAGCACCTAGGGTCGTTTTTCGCGCTGCTGCGCCTATGTTTATAGGGGGGGTAACTCGAGACAGTCCCCCTAGAGAAGGGACAGCGGTGAGTAAGAACGAGCTGCTGTCGGGGGTAACCCTAGGACAACCCGTACCTGCGAGTCTATTCAGTCTCAGTTTTCACTAGATCGTCGTTGAGGTAATATCACAATGATTCTCGCTTGTTTTTTCCAGGATGGATGTACCACGTGGTTGAGTGCACGGTTTTGGGCATTCCCAGGCAGCAGAAGCAATCCATAGCTATCCAGTGCCTGCATAAATCCATCGAGGCCGAGCCGAAGAGCGGACAGAGCCTCTATTTATTGGGACGTTGCCTGGCAGCTTCCGGAAAAGTGCACGAAGCATTTGTCGCTTACAGGTAATTACTCGCAGAGGCAGATTTGATGCGAGTTTTGTTGATTGAAATTGCAAAGAAATGTATTGGTAGTAGCTGCAGACTGACTATACCAAAAGAATTATTTCATGTATTTAATTTTAAATATATAATTGTATAAAATATATTAATTTTATGTTATATATTTATATAATTCTGCTTTTTTTATAATTATCGTTTTACGATTATAAATTTTCAAGCTGCAAAGTTTTATATGAAAGAAAGATGAAAAAGAATTAATGAGAAAAAAAAACAAAATTAGCTTTTTGACATTGCAATTTCAATAAACAAGATATATTAATGATGAGTATAAAAGTTTATTGTAGGTTTATGTAGAAATTATTGTTAAACTTAAAATGATGACGTCTCGCAGTTTGAAGATAATTTATTAATTAAAATAATCATTAACTTTCATATATTTTTTCCATTTCGACAAATATTCTTTCTGCAATCTCTCTTCTAAGAAGCATGTAAACTTTTGACTTCGTTCCAAATTAAATTGGAAAGAAGATCGACCGACAAAATTTGTATATATATGCGTATTCCAAATTATAATACATTTATTATAATATCTGTATAGGAAAGTAGTCAATATAAGAGAAGAAAAATCTTTCCAATGTAAATCAAACATAATAACCTTAAGGCAAGTATTGTAATAAGTAAATTTTATTTTATTTTGTAATTTTGTTACATTGTCACCTGTTTGAGAACTTATAACATTCTTCATATGCCCGGCAGGAATTCAGTCGAAAAATCAGAAGGCAATGCGGATACATGGTGTAGTATAGGAGTGCTCTACCAGCAGCAGAATCAGCCTATGGACGCACTGCAAGCCTACATATGTGCCGTGCAACTAGACAAATCCCATTCAGCTGCTTGGACTAATCTAGGCATACTGTACGAAAGTGTTAGCCAACCGAAAGACGCCCTGGCCTGTTACGTTAACGCGTCTAGGTAAATTACACGTTACTCTGATGCAACGTGAATCATTTTCACGGCGTTTCACAATTATTAAACGCTGCTGTATTCCCAGGGCTGACGAATGTATTTACGTTTGTTATTTATTTACCATATTTAAATAGATTAGTAGTCAGTCACATTGATAATTATGTTAAATATAATTTAAAAATAACGAAATTAAAGTAAAAGTTAAATAAACCGATTATGTTGTTTATTTTGTAAGTTATATCATGCGTTGTAATTTTTCTTTCTTATGTTTATTATCGCGTGTTGGATATCACGAAGTATATTTTTACATTTTATAATATATCTTGCGCGAGATAAAAATTCACAGTGATTACCGAGTTGTTGAGTTATTAGGTCAAGGTGATAAGAGATCTGCTTGTTTTCTGCTTGCAGAGGGAATAGCAATATAGCGAATTGCACGGGCCCATTCGTGGGTCTGGGTGGCGTCAAGTCCGGAGGCAACAACCCGATGAACCCGTCCCTCCAACAGCGCATCAGCTTTCTGCAAAGTCATCTAAGTCAAGCACCAATGCCTTCCGTCGCTGCCAAGTGAGTTGTTGTCGGAAAATCAAATTACGTACTACAATCTTATGATCCCGTTATGATAATCTTTCATGTAGTTCTTTAAACATTGAAAGAAACAGATAAATAGATTTGAGAAATTTTATATATTTGTGAATACATGAACTACTTCAAATACAAACAAAAGTTGTTCGTTATTTCATATTGATAATATTGATGAAAAAAATATCAAGTTCAAAATAAAACTCTTTAAATATTTGATCATGTAACAATAATGTAACAATAATAGCGATCGAGTTTGTAATAAAGAAATTAAATCTGAGAAAATAACAAAATAAAATCTAAAAATCGCGTGAAATGATGAGCTAAAGGTCAAGCCGACATTTTAGTTGGCCTTTAATGTACTTATTTTTGATTTTGCGGTTACGGAGCATATTTCCTGTTTTCATGTAATTTTTCTCCTTTTATCCAGGAGGCGGCAATTGCCGTCAATCGAAGAGGCTTGGAATCTGCCAATCAGTGCAGAGATGTCCAGTCGGCAGCAGCAGCAACAGCAACAACCTGGTGGACCTTCATACAAGTACGGCGCCACGCCGACCGGCCCGCCACCGCCTTATCCTCAAGCTCAGGGGCAGCCTGCTAAGCGTTTTAAGGTAGAAAAAACACATTAAAATAAGAGATTCCTTAAAAATTCTTTTTGTCTGTAATATTATACAGTCTACATGTTTTATAAATATTTCAACGTATTTGCAAAGATATAAAATTATTATAAGCAAAAATAAATAAAATACTAGATAATGTAGATAACATCTCTCAAGTTTGCATTAATTGATGAAATTTAATTTTTTTCGACAGACCGATGAGGCGATATCAGCCGCGTCGCAGCAACGGCCGCCTTCGTTTTATCTATCACCGCAACAGATGCATATGCTACAGTTCCTACAGAATCAAGCTAACTTGACACCGCAACAGCAGGCTATGCTCATCCAGCTGCAGAACCAATATCGTACAATGCAACATCACATGAGGTTGCATGCGGCGCAGCGGAGCCTGACAGCAGCAAGGCCAGCAGGACAGCCGGCATATGGTCATTCTCAAAACCTCGGCCAATCGTCAGTTGTCAAAAACTACGGCATACCGCAACAGCCGGTAAATATTCAATATTTTGTTTTTTAAATCAAATTTCCTCGATCCTCGGGCGATGAGGAAAATTATTTGCATGATTTAATTTTTACATTTTTGCATAAGACGTGAAATATATGTTACGTCGTTAAAAACATCATTTAAATTATGTTAATTAACATTCAGTTGCAGCAAGGGGGTACGGTTGCGCTGCAGACGGGCTTTTCCGACAATAATGTCGGTTACAACACAGCAGCAACCGGAAACACTACACAGACACCAGGAATGCCTTACAAATCCGCCTCCGATCCCACTTATCCGCCGCAGAGACAACTCACCGGTGGTGCACAATATGGTGGCCAGTATCAGCAGCCAAATCAGTACGCTGCTCAGGGTTATACGCAGGTCACATCGGCGATCAGCGGCTACTCGGAGAGCTCGGTGGCGGCTGTCGCGAATAAGGATAATTTGGGCGTGACGGATCAGGAGTTACAGGCATTGCTGTCACAGAAGGACATAGCCACGTCACTGGCGGAAGACTTGCTCAAGCATTTTGGTTCCGATGACTTGGATACCGTTGTGAAGGAGGAACCGTCAACCGGCGGTGTCATCAATGACAACGGCACATTAAGTTCCGGTCCGTTCTCACCATCGAATCTCGAGGAGAGTGCGACGGACAAGGTGAAAGAAGTGAAATTGGAAAAGTCAGAAGAAATGGCTTCCCACCAGCCGACGCAGTCAAAATCGACGACAGAGGCTGTGACGACGACGCCCATAACGACAACTGCAACGACGACTGTGACGACGGTTAAGTGTGAATCGACAACGGTTAAGTGTGAGACGACAACGTCTTCGTTATCCTCCGGCACAACGATGACGACAACAACGATACATAAAAGCGAACCAACTAATATTTCCAAGACAGAGCCGACCATGAATTTGAAACTCGAATCGTTGTGCGAATCGCAACCGGAACAGGAACTCAGCATTGAAATGGATGCCAGGATGGTAATTGAAGCGTGTAAGGGTCAAGGGTTAAATGGCGTGCCAAATTGTTCGATATTGAGCGATCGTTCGCCACCACCGGCACCGCCGGACCCGCCCAGTCAACGATTGACGAAGGAACAATTGTTGCCGCCCACCCCGAGTGTCTATCTGGAGAACAAGAAAGATGCTTTCAGTCCACATTTACAAGAATTTTGTTTGAAGCATCCGATCGCTGTGATACGTGGCTTAGCAGCAGCGCTCAAACTTGACCTAGGTCTTTTTTCAACTAAGACTTTAGTCGAGGCTAATCCAGATCATGGTATCGAGGTACGCACTCAAATGCAGCAGACTAGCGAAGAGAACTGGGATCCGGCGCTCAATAAAAAAGTCTGGAATTGTATCAGTCACCGTAGTCATACGACAATTGCCAAATACGCGCAATATCAGGCCTCCAGCTTTCAGGAGAGCCTGAGAGAAGAAAAAGTGCAAGGTGGCGTACACGCTTCCAATCTGTCAGATTCGGACTCGAAGGACAGTACTGGCCAGACGGTTCGACGTAAAAAGAATACTTTTGGCTTAGTTGGCCGACCGGGAACCAAAATGTTGCGTTTTGGTACCAATGTGGATCTGTCGGATGAGAGAAAATGGAAGCCACAGTTACATGAACTCATGAAGTTGCCAGCCTTCGCCAGAGTGGTATCAGCTGGCAATATGCTCAGCCACGTGGGCCATGTGATCTTAGGAATGAACACAGTACAATTATACATGAAGGTATATATTTAAAAATTTGAATAATAAAGTTAATGCTAAATACATATTGGAATAGTGAATATGATTTAATTTATATAATTGTTTTTAGGTACCCGGAAGTAGAACACCTGGCCATCAAGAAAACAATAATTTTTGTTCTATCAATATCAACATTGGACCGGGTGATTGCGAATGGTTCGCTGTGCCAGATGCGTATTGGGGTGTAATATGTTCACTTTGTGAGCGCAATGGCATCAGTTATTTGCACGGCAGCTGGTGGCCAAATCTAGATGACTTATACGAGGAGAATATTCCAGTATACAGGTTTCATCAGCGACCAGGCGATCTCGTATGGGTAAATGCAGGTTGTGTACACTGGGTACAAGCGGTCGGTTGGTGCAACAATATCGCGTGGAACGTTGGCCCGCTTACTGCGAGACAGTATCAGCTCGCGATCGAGCGTTACGAGTGGAACAAACTGCAAGCATTTAAATCAATCGTGCCGATGGTGCATCTTTCATGGAATTTAGCGCGCAACATCAAAGTGTCAGATCCGCGACTGTTCGAACTGATCAAGAATTGCCTGCTACGAACGATGAGACAGTGCTGTTTGATATTGGAGTTTGTAAAGAGTAAGGGCGTGGAAGTGCGCTTTCATGGCCGCGGCAAAAATGAGGCCTCGCACTACTGTGGCCAGTGCGAGGTATGTTTTCTGCCTTGTGCTTTTAATTAATAATTGATCAATTTAATTTGTATAAAGTACAATAATGCAATCTTATTTTTCTTTATATGTAGATTCAGAGAATAATCTTGAAATCCGCTTTTTTTTTTTTACAGATCGAAGTGTTCAATATTTTGTTTATTCGCGAACAGGAGAAACGTCACGTGGTGCATTGCATGGATTGCGCGCGTAAACAATCTCCTTCATTGGAGGGATTTGTCTGTTTAGAAGAATACCGTATGCGTGACTTGATGGACGTTTACGACGGATTCACCTTGTACATGCCACTGGCCACCGCCACCAGCACCACTACCACCACCACCTCTTCGTTATCGTCATCAGCAGCAATGTCGACGACGTTGCAGGCACAAACCGGCCAGTCCTCCTGAGGTTACATGCAACACATATATTTGGACTTCCTGAGCACGCTACAGCAGTAGTGATCACTACCATCCGGGAAATGCGAATTCTTTCCGGATGGTAGCGATCACTACTGCTAGTGTTAGTTCTTGTTTCAACTCGAAGCGAGAGTACATTTCGTACGATAAGCATTATCCGTGTACCTGAGAGCTACGCGAAAAGAGGCGGGACCGGCTCTTTAAGAGTTTCTCACAGGCGACCGTCCGCAAATATACTCGATGAGGTAGCATAAAAGCGTGACAGTAATTTCTCGAGACACCGATTTTAAGATAAAATATTTCATGTAAGAATCATTAAACTTTAAAGACACATTTTCTACTGCGAAACTGCTTTAGCATAGAAATATGTATTTTTATTTTTATGTAAATTTTTATAGACTAACATTAGTGAGATGTTAAATATTTTTTTTTTTTTAATATTTTTCATTAGTTTGTAACATTAGTTTGTCACGTTACGTTTTACCTCATCCTGTCTGTATATTTTTATCTCAATTTGTGTACGGTAGCCTTTTTAGCTTTAATCTGCACCTAATCATTCGAATTCGCTATTAGGAACGTGATTATCGCGACAAAGAGTTTCCTGAGCCGATCCCAAGGAAAAGAAAAGGACTAAAGAAAGGGGCAGTCTTCAATAGACGCGAAGATCGATTAGCGCTTCTTGTGACTCGTTCGTTCGCTCGTTAGTTAGCCCTATTTGTACAAATGTAATTTGCTTATCTATAAAGAAAATATCACCGCCAGTCGCCAGATTATTCCCTGTAAATATGCGACGGCGATCACGATTGTCTTTTTATATAGCTCTCGGGTATTGACTAGAGAAGACTGTCTCTGATTATTAAAGGACGTAATAGTGTAATAATCGGTCCGCAGCATCGTCCATGCGATCATTCCCCTTTTGGCGCGCTAAATATTTTCTTTTATCAAATTTTTTTTATATCAGGCTTTTCTTACGTGTCGTTTATTATCGTTTCTTACATGTCGTTAATTAACAATCATTGCAACTTGTGATAGAAATCGGAGATACAACAAAAAATATGTCGCGAATAGTACTTTTTTTTATCATGGACTTGAAATTTAATTTCTTAATTTAACTTTTTGTTTCTCGTTGTATTCGAGATTAGTTCAAAGCGTATAAGACTATGCAGTTATGTGTTTTCACTGCCACTTATGAAAACGCTGAGATAAAAATGGAGATTCGCCCTTTATTGTACGTATTAAGGATTGTAAGTGGATAAACGGATGATCCATTGTTAATTAATCATTGTTAGGAAAATGCGTATGGCAAATTACTGCTCAAATCATTTGTACATTTTTGTATGCAAATCAACTATTGAGACTAAAAAAAAAGGTAAAAGAATTATTAGTAAGGGTGTCTTTAGAGTATAGCGCGATCTCTACTGCCAACCGTACATGTTATTTCCTGTTTACAATGAAACGATCAATTACTAAAATATAATTATTCTAAAATTAAAGACTTGAGTACGGACATGAATTTTAGCGGAAGTTAATCTTCAAGAAGATTATTAATTGTTTGTCCAAGTCTTTAAATGTAGAGACGAAAATTAACATAAAGTAAAGAATCTATCGAAATGAATATTGGAATGTAAACATGGTGAATTTAAGACTCCATGCCTATGTTTCAGGAAAGTATTAGAAATCTTCTAAATTTTATCCAATTGTGGTTTCTCACATGTGACATTGATTGCTTTTCTATTAAAAAAAAAAAAATTTTCTTTCCTACAGGAAGCATATTCCTGTATTAACAAGTACATGTATGTGTGTGATTTTTGTTAGCAAAATTTTCGATCTTTAGCGAAAAAAGGAAAGACAGAAAGAAGGAATGGTATATACGCGAAAATTGCGCGCCGCTCGCAGGGCGATGATACGTGGCATGAAGAGGGCGAGATAAGATTTCCGAAAGGGGAGAGAATATAGAGATGCAGAAAATAAAGAGAGCTTCTTGTTCATCAGGTTAATCATACTTTAAGACAACAAATGTACCTTCACTCACAGTCTCGTCAATTGATCACGGCGTTCGCAGCCGACGTAACGTGCCAGAGCGCTTATCGTCACCTTGTATATTAGCCCGATTCGAGAAACTTGAGAATTAAGAGTGAAATCTTTGCCTCTGTTGAATTAATATTATGCAAGACGAAGTTGATGGAAAATTGAGACATAAAAACGCATCTGACTTGTCACTAGCTATTGGATCGAAAGGCAAAAATAGATCATAAGAACTTTTTTTTCGTCTTCCGATCAGTATTATCGAAATTAAATCAAGTTCTATCATGTGCTATATGACAAAGAGAAGTGTCATCGTGAGTTTCGTGAAAATTTAAATTTCAATCTTTGCAATATTTTTTATATTTTTATAATGTCCAAGTTTTTATGAGGTCTCGACGACTTTTGTTTATCTTGAATATTGCGTGTCATCATTGATTATCTGCAAGTGTTTCTTTAATGAATAAAAACGGATTTACTTTTAATTCTCAACTTCTCGATTCCCGTCCCGAGCGAATTGCGCGTGAAAAAGGGATAGAAAAAGAAAAAAAGATAAAGTAGTTAGCTTCTTGCGCCATGAGAAAGGATCATCCGCATAAAAAGCGATGTATTTTTGTGAATATCTAGAAGCGCTAGTTCCACCGAATGAGTAGTTTCGAGAAATTAAACGAGAGGCAAAAGGAGAATCGCGTTCTCCTCTTATTTTTCACACTTTAGTCATAAATGTTCATAACATTTGCTGAATCAACGTACCAATTTCTTGTGCTATCTTTAACCATTCTTTTTCTTTAAAGCAAAATCACGCGACTATTTTCAAGAACTGTATAAAACGCTTTGCTTTATCTCCAGATTCATATCATGGGATATATAAATTTTTAACTGACACTTTTTTTTTATATTTATTGTCAGGATATTACATAAAAATGTATAAGTGAAAGAAAATAAGATAAAAAGATAAAATACGCGGCGCATGGCAATATATTTAATCGATTGATTTTATTTTTATGACAAGCTTAGCTTTTGATATAAGAGGTTCCAGAAAAATTCCTCAAAAATTTTTACTATTCAGATATTGGCATATACTTTTTTTTAAAACAAAGTAATTAGTTTTACATGGATAATTTTACGAAAGCAAAAGAATGGAAAGCTTACAGTCGCTGTGGCGAATGAAACATTGGTCTTCGATGAGATTTGAGCGAATGTTAAGGCATTTATGGCATAATTAACATACAATGAAGACCACCGCGTGACATTTTCGAACGAAAATGTAGAAAAATGTAAAATATACGAGCCGTTGAGATGGACTGAACATCTTCGTCAGGGGGATGTAAACAATTTTGTTTCATACATACATTCTCGTACATTTTAAATCGTATACATAAACACGCTATATGATCTCAACTTTGCACGATGCCGGCAGAAAGAGAAGCGATAGATTGTTACCGCATATTATTTTTCCACCGGCAGCCGCAAGTTCCGAACTGATATCGACATCTTTCAATTAATGCTATTTCGTAAATTATATATATATAATTATGTATATATATATATATAATAAATATATAAATATATATATATTTAATGTAAAGGGTAAAGATAATAGGCAAATTCATGAGTAGAAAGCTCACTGCGAGCTTTTTCATAGTTATAAGAGCGAGATCGGTCGTTTGTGCCACGATCGTGAATCGTGCGCGTTTGTTCGATATTTTCGTAAATTAACACGGTGAATCATTCATGCGACGCGAGGAACACGTATGTGCGTATGTGATTCTGATCCTCCTAGCTCGAAAACGAAGGAGCCCTTGTAATCCCTGCGAAAGCTCTACACGGATAGGTTTTCCCTCGCGTGCAAGTTTACCTTTCTTCTTGTATGTAAAAATAAATAAGGGATTTCCGTGTGAAAGTATTCAGACGCGTACAAACGAGTTGGAGCATTCTCGAGAAACGCGCACATAAAGATAAAGACGATCGTTAATTCTCCATGGACCACAATGTAACTTCTAGATAAAATGGAACTTAATTGGGCATTCCTTTTGTCGAAAATTTCATCTGTGGGAAATTAAATCGGTCGAAGGGAGAAAGGAGGAGGGGGAGGCAGAAAAGACCGAGGAGAAAGAATGTATAAGGGCATATTTTCGCTATAAACCATTACTATTACTATTATTATTACTACTACTACTACTATTACTACTACTACTACTATTACTACTACTATTATTACTTCTAATTTAAGTTGTACACCTTATGAAAAAAATCAAGCAGATCAGACGAGAATTTATTTTTGGTCCGTGAATAATATAACGAGGTAATATTTTTCTCACATCAATCTAGCCGTATATACGGATATAAATCTGTATAAAGAACCATAGCGTTTATTATATATATATATATATATATATATATATATATATATATATATATATATATATATATATATGTA